ATCACATTTAGGGGGTTAAAAGTACGGGTTGGAAAGTTTGAGTTTCATCAATCGACGGATGCGACAATCGACGGATGCGACAATCGACGGATGCGACAATCGATGACTACAAATGTGATGGTTGGCGAGACTGTCCCTTAAGTTTTTTACCAGAGGGTACTAAAATGAAATAAAAATAAATGTTATGTATGGTTAAAAAATGAGAGTTTAGGTACTAAAATGAACCAAAACTGATAGTTTAGGTACTAAACACGTAGTTTATCCTATTTGTTTTGATAGATGTAAAAGAATGAGACAAATAAGGATAAAAAATATATAAATGTAGTTTTTTATTAAAATTTCTAATAGGACATTTTAAATGAGATAATTTTAAAAATTAAAATGAAGAAATTTATTAAAACGTATAGAGTATTTATTTTTACATTGTTGGAATGTAATAGGGTTTCCAATGTTGAGAAACTTACCATGTTGCTTCTAGATGGAAAAAGTGACACTAACAAATATATATATAAAATATAGTATAAATTATTAGTGTGGTCCTAACAACAACTTGTGATATTCCTAACAACAAATGGTCTCTCAATAATAGGATTTTATTTTGTTGAGTCTCCTAACTATTAAAAGTTAAAATTTGGTCCTCTGACTATAAACAATTTTTTAGTCCCCCGACTATTAAAAGTTACAAAATGGTCCTTTAACTATTTATATATTCTAAAATCATCCTTTTATGTTAAAAAGTTAACGCTTGTATGAGTTGGACGTTAACCTGCTGACTGAGTTAAGATAGAAATCATATTTTAATGATGTTTATTGGCATCACCATTGCTTTCAAATATTGGCTCGCCAACATAATGTTTCAAGCACTAGCTCGACGACATGTAAATATAAATTTGATCCATGAAATACAGATAAAACGCTTATGGGATAAGATTTTCTCATATAACAATCAACACGTTAACGTCCATCTCAGAAGGCCGTCAATTTTTTAACGGAAAAGGATGAGTTTGGAATATATAAATAGTTGGGTGACCATTTTATAACTTTAATAGTCGGAGGACTCAAAAAAGCAACAACATATAGTCAGGAACCATTTTGTAACTTTCAATAGTCAAGGGAGTCAACAAAGCAACACCTTATACTCGGAGACCATTTATATACTTTACCCTATCATTTTTTACTCCATTCAAAAGTAACAAACTTTGAATTATCCTTAAGATCGATGCCTGCGATGGAAAGGTTGATCATGGAGGATTTTGTGAAGATGCGTCAAACTAATCACTTTATTACTAGCATCTATAACTTTGAGATCATATAATTTGGTGTATGGAAAAAATGACTTATTTATTAAAATTTTGATGTTATGACTGCTAGGGTGTATATATCAACGTTTGTTTTTTTTTTTGCTCAGCAATCAGAAGATTTTATTGAATTTATAGAATATCCCCATCTTGAGCCTCATTAAAAAAAACCCTAATCCTAAATGGGGGAAAAGAGTGCTCAAAAATGAGAAAAATACCAAAGACTCATAACATGAATTACATAAAAAGTATATGAAGCACAACTTAAACCGAACTTACCCCACCTCACCAAAGCATAAAAACATACTTCACGCTGCCCAGCCCCTAACCAACAATAGAATAAATCTAAATAAAACTCCATTTCAATCAAGTTTACCTTCATGCTAAGAATACCATAAAAACTACTAGGAAAACTCTCTTTCTATACATCACCAGCTTGCCTTGAACAAGACTTTTCTCTTCGAGCCCATCTTTGCCAGATAATCTGCCATATTATTAGTACTCCTAGGCAAGAAAGCAAACTTTATCTCAGTTATCTTCATTGCATCCACATCAATTCCCTGAAAAATTGCCCCCCACCTCCATGGTCGAGCTAAAGCATTTTGTATCCAGTTCAGTACTACCTTAGAATCAGATTCAACAATCAAACCAGTCTTCGCACACCAACAAGATTCAACAAACACGTCTAATGCAATTTTGATAGCTATAAGCTCCGCAAAATCTGAATTAATCTCTGTTACCGGCCCAAAAAACATTGCTACTACATAACCTTCTGCAGTCCTCAAGATTCCCCCACACCCTGCTAACTTGTTCGTTGCTGAGCCATCCACATTAAACTTCATCTGGCCCGACACTGGCGGCTTCCACACAGACTTGGGACGTTGTTGTACACATAGACCCGCTGACTCCCCTGGCCAATCCCACCAACTTTTCTCATCTAACACACTAAAAACCTTCAACGCCTTACACCAAGCATAAGCCCTCATCTTCACATATACTAGCAGATCTTTGAGTTTCGTACTTTTACTCTTAAAAACTACATCATTCCTAGCCAACCATAGGCTCCATAACGCCGCTGTAAAGCTTACAAACCAAGCCAATGTTGTAGATTCTGTCCACCTAAACTGAAAACAAAACTCAAATATTTCATCCACTGACTGCAAATTAAAGCCTGGAATATGCCACCACCTGCAGAAAGCATTCCAAAAACAAGCCATAAAAATACAAGACACAAACAAATGATTTGCATCCTCTTCAACATCTCCACACCATGGGCACAATCTTTGAGCATCGAACAGCTTAATTCCTCTGTTAAAGAGGAATACCTTAGTTGGAACTCTGTTCAATTTAAGCATCCATAGAAAATATTTCACCTTCGGAGGGACTTTAAGGCTCCATATTATATCAAAGTTAAACAAACATACATCTTCAAAATACTCATCACTGAGGAGCAAATCTGTCAATTTCTTAACCTTAAATAAACCATCAGTCTCATGCACCCATATAATCCGATCAGCCAAAAACGAATTTAAACTCACATCGTCCACTTCGCGTTTTATAATTCGAACAGTATTGAATTCCCTATCAAGCAATTGACGCTCAAACAACGCTGCTAAATCTAAGTTTTTCCATTCACCTGTAGAAATCATGTCACGCACCGTAATATATTTCCTCAACGCTAGCCTGTAAATACGAGGATATCTTGATCTTAAAGGACTTTCCCCAAGCCACACATCCTCCCAAAATAAAACTGATTTCCATCACCCACTACCCACCTAAAAGATTCCCCACTCATCCATTTAGCTGTACTTTCACTAGACAAGTTTTTCACGATCCCTCTCCATGTTATCGAGGCTTTCTTGATATCTTCAAGACTAACCAACCAAGGCAGATCACCTGAGCCATATTTGTGACTGATTACAGACCTCCATAATGCCCCTCTTTCCGTTGCAAATCTCCAACCCCACTTAGCAAGCAACGCCATATTCTTTGCCTTTAGATTGATTATTCCAACCCCACCTTTCTTTTTCGGACAGCACAATCTACCCCAACTCACCCTTGGCAATCTATTTTTGTTTCCATCACAACCCCACAAAACACCTCTCCTAATCTTATCAATTTTTGATATAACCGCTTTTGGAATAGGGAAAATCGACATATAATACAACGGCAACATTGACAACACTGAATTAATAAGAACCACTCGCCCAGCAAAAGATAACGTCCTACTTTTCCAGCCCACCAATTTAGCTTTAAACTTTTCAATAACAGGTTCCCAAGTAGAAATTCTTCTAGGATCTGCACCTAACGAAATTCCCAAATATTTAAACGGCAATGCACACACAGAACAACCACCCAAACTAGCTAGTTGTTTTAATCTAGCTTCTTCCACCTTCACCCCTGCTAAGCACGGCTTTCTAAAATTAATGCTTAAACCCGAACCCAATTCAAAGCATCTCAAGATTCTCTTAACATTGACCATACTTCTTTGATCTGGAAGAATGAACATTATCGTATCGTCCGCGAATTGCAAATGAGAAATACTTATGTTTGGTGCCACATTTTCAATACCTTCAATGAATCCTTTGCGAACAACTCCTTCTAACAAAAGATGAAGAGCCTCTGTTATCATTATGAACAAAAAGGGGGACAATGGATCTCCCTGTCGTAAACCTCTGTACATTTTAAATTCTTTTGTAGGAGACCCGTTTAGAAGAACAGAAACTCTAACTGTCGAAATACATTCCCAAATCCAGCGTCTCCATGTGCTTCCAAAACCCATATTGTGCTGAACAGAGTCTAAAAACTCCCAATAAACACAATCATACGCCTTTGCAAAATCTAGTTTTAAAATCAATCCACCTCTCCCTCCACTCTCTATATTCAAAGAATGAATGACTTCATTTGCCACTAAGATTCCATCGAAAATCTGTCTTCCTGCTATAAATGCACATTGTGTCTCACTAATCACTTTTCCAATCACACCTCTTAATCTCCTTGCTAACACTTTAGCAATTATTTTGTACAAGCTGCTCACCAACAAGATCGGTCTATATTCTGAAATTTCAGTCGGATTAGCCACCTTTGGAATCAATGCTAAAAAATATGAATTGACATTCTTACCCCATTTTCCATTCCTATAAAACTTATCCATGGTCTTCATCAAATCTTCTTTTACCCATTCCCATGCTTTCTTAAAAAAGACTATATTGAAACCATCCGGACCCGGAGCTTTGTCCTCCCCACAACTCCACACAGCATCCTTTACTTCTTCAATGGAAAAAATCACTTCCAGCCCTTCTGCATCCACCCTTGATAGTTGTTTGAACGGCAAATTGATCTCCGTCTTCCACTTCTTTTCCTTGCGTCTAAAATGGTTGCTAAAGAAATTGAAAACCTTAGCTCTAAGTTTGTCTGGCTCAACATCATCGACCTCTCCCAAATTAGTTCCCAATATCAATCGCTTTTTACTCTGAATCTTAACTACTCTATGGAAAAAAATGGTGTTTTCATCTCCCAGTTCAGCCAGTTCGATCTTGATTTCTGGCGCCATATATCCTCCTTTTCCTTCAATGTATCCCATAACCTCCTTGTGCAGCTCAGTTGTTCCTCTCTTTCACTGACATCTAAACCATCAGCATCACTCTTCATATCTAACTCATTAATCCTCTTCTCCAATCTTTTTGCTTCCATATCAACATTTCAGTAGTTCTGTAAATTCCATTTCTGAAGTGCTCCTTTCACCCTTCTTAATTTCACATTTAAATCTACATCACCTTCTTTTTCGTGCTGCAATGTTTTCTTAATAATCTCAATACAACTCTCCTGATTTAACCAACAATTAATCAGTTTAAACGGTCTAGGTCCCCAATCCACCACTTCATTCCCTAATAATATAGGAAATATGATCTGAAACTGTTCTCGGAAGACCAAAAAGAGTTACATCACTATTTTCATTAAACCATTCATCCTTCACAAAAATTCTATCTAAACGACTCTTTCTATTTCCCGGTCCAAACCACGAAAATTTTCTCCCCGATAAAGGCATGTCAAATAGATTACAAGCCTCTATGAACGAATTGAACTCTACAATCTCTGTTTGTCTGTAAGAACACCCGCTTCTCTCGCTGTTACTTCTTATTGCATTGAAATCACCTACCATGAACCATCTATTCTTATTTTTCCTCCTAACTTCCACAATTGCACTCCAAACTATGACTTGTTCAGATACTTCACAAGGAGCATAAACATTCATAACAGAAAATGACAAATCATGCGGAGCATACTTCCCTTCTATCAAAATAAATCTATCTGTAATTAAGCTATCCAAGATCTGAAATCTACTTTTATCCCAGACAGACAGAATACCCCCAGATTTTCCCATTGCTTTCGAGAATCTAAAATCAAAATCATCATTACACTAAAAACTACTAATTTCAGTATCCTTTAAATCCTCCTTCTTAGTCTCTTGTAACAATACCATCTCAATTCTATAAATCCAAATAAACTTTCTAAGCTCTGAGATCTTCACATTAGAACCCATACCTCTTATATTCCAAGACATAATTCTCATCTTGGAGACTCCCCCCTCTGCTGCCTTCTAGAAATCAATGGACAGAGATTGGGACTCTCCTTCAAGATCATCCCCAGCTGCAATTTCCTTAACCAACGCCTCCTCTGAGCCTTTAAACTGAATACCCAGCTCTCTACCAATTTGTAAGGTTTTCCTCGCTTCTGACTTTTTCCTCTGCCAACGTTCTTGAAGATCCGAATCAGACAAAGACCTTCCTTCAAGTTCAGTCAACTCTTCCTCACTTAGCTCCTTCCTATGGATTTTCTTCACACGACAGTTTCTAATCTTTCCTTGAGTAACACCATATTTTCCTTGAATTTTTTTGATAGAGCTGTATTTCTTAATTTTTCCCTCCTTTGCTCTAAAGTTCTGCTTAGTTTTGGGAATAAAAATATCATCGCTCATTTGCAAGCAGAGCCCCTTTTCCCATTCTTCCCCCTCCCGTCTCAAACTGGACTTATTTACCTTCGGGTCTGCCAAGCACCCGTCCAATTGTTCCTTATTGGATCCTTTCTTAGAAAAGGAATTTGTAAGGCCCAAATACTCCGAAACCTCCACCGCCTTTGCACCTAACCCCCCTTCCCGTATAGACAAATCCTTTAGATTCTCATTAATACCTTCATTATCGTCCACCACCTTAACTAGAAATCTGCAATCATCTTCTGCCACCTCCACCTCATTTCCCTCCTCCACCTCGTATTGCTTTTGAGATTTCCCAGAACAAACATCATTGACCCTCTGACCCACAATTGCATCCTCCCCTATGTTTCTCTCTACTTCTTCCCTCCCTGACATACAGCCGCCTCTTGGAATGTTCCCCATGCACATTAAATAACTATCATCTTCCTCATGCCACCTCTCGGCCTTCTCCTCCTCCGTCGGCTCCATACTCCTTACTGTCGACGCACTCGAATCATCGGTGACTAAATTGACTTTTGCTTCTTTCTTGTGACTGCACGTATCACTCCTACTAGTATTCTGTTCCACAACTCTTATTTTAAAAACATCCCTTCCTGCCTCCAAATCAACCACCTCATCAATCAATTCCTTTCTTCTAGTTGCTATCAAGATAGTCATCTCCTCACAACTCGATTCCTGAAGAGCATTTTCTCCCATCGCCAAACATTCCCCCCATAGCTCAGAAATCCTTTTGAACGTGTTATGGTTCCAACAGTGTAATGGCACACCTATTAATTTGATCCAGGTTACCCTTTCAGACGCTCTGTATGATTCTGTCCAAGGATTAACTTCCAGGAAAACTTCCCGTAAGAATGACCAATTATGCTCTTTCATAAACGTATAAAGCTCTTCGTCCATGAATTCTAAAAGGAAATCTCTTCCTCCCATAAACTTAATCCTAACCTCTCCCAAGCCCCCTGCACGTAATCTGTCAACCACCTGAGTCGAAGAACATACCGTTGCCATAGTACCTACGAGGCATTTTTGCAACTTTCGAACAACCTCATCATCAATAACTCCCTGTATGGACCTGCTCCTCCTTCTTGTCTGTGTCTCAGAAACTTCTTCCGCAATACTTTTATCGTTAGGTACCCTTATGGCTGTATTGGAATTGGAAGGACTATTCAAGTCTCCGCTTGAATTCTTTGCTCTAAACCTTGCTTCCTTCACTGAAAGTCGATATCCGAACAACCAAAATCCATTGAGTCTTTGCATCGCTCTCTCTGTATCTTCTTTTTTTGAGAATCTAACAAAACCAAATCGCTTCCCCAATCTGTCATTCTTCCTAGCTATGTAAGAGCTGACAACATCTCCATGCCTACCGAATTATTGTCTCAGTCCACTCCAATGATACCTAGGAGGAATGTTCTGCACAAACAGAGTTTGGATCTCGTCTACCTTTCCTGAAGCTTTTTCCGACGATTGAGCTGACGCAGTGCCGTTCATATCTCGTTCTACTTTCTTAAAAAATTAACTATCATCTGAGTTGTAAGTCGGTATAAATGACTTAAGCAGAAGTACATATAGAATGTAAACTTCATTAAGAAATAGGAACAAATTACATTGATATAGAGAGCTAAAGCAAAGCTATAGAATATCTTATGAGAGATTAACATGGAAAAAAAGAAGATACACAATACGTACAGCTGACCAGAGAGACTACTGATTTTTTAGTCAATTTATTTCTTTCAATGTCATAATTAGAAAGAGAATTTTAATTTGTATTATAGTTCAATACAAAGCTTGATACGGCCTCAGCAAAGGGATCAGCCCTCCACTTAAGTGGAGGGACATGACTTCATTTGTGGATCCCAGCAGCTTTCCCCCGATGAAGATCATCGGAACCGGCGTGTTGCACCCCAACCTCATCAGGGATCTCACCATTTCCCGGCCTTCAGGGTCTTGGTCGATCTCGTTAACCGTCGGGGTCACCCCAAGGTCTTGGAACAGAATCCTGACTGTATAACACAGGCAACATGAGCTCTTGCTGAACAGCACCACTCCACTCTCCGAGGCCAATCTCATCACCTTGTCCATGTCTTTTGCAGTGAAGACGGTCGTTACACTTAACGTGGGACGAAGAAAATGCAAAAGCTCAGAGAAAAGTCACGATATACTTTCGATTTCACTTTAAAACTTAACGACTATCGGATCACTGCATTTGTCTGAATGGTGGTGGGAGGTTGGAGTTTGAGAAAGAGAGAAAAGGGTCCAAACCCTTGGTGGACCTGAAACTTAAGCTCCGATGGTGGAGTATTTATAGGGAACATCATTGAGTAAACTCCATTGTTTGACAGAACATTGAAAAGAAACTCTGCTTTAACTAGATCCTTCAAACCAATAACTTTGAAAATATTCTGAGGCAAGCTACTCATTTAGACCAGATTCCCACAATCGCCTCCTTTGAATCCAGTTTGCGGGAAAAGATCGAGAATGCGATGGCTTTTGGGGGAGGCAATATCTTTGTATTGCGCCCACCAACTTGCATATGATTCTTCTTCTCAAATGTGAGGACACACTACAGGGGTTGCTGCTCTTTCAACGGCTTTGAATGGCGACCGCACGTGTATTGACAACTACTCTTCCTTTCATCACAGTGGGACATGACAGGATTCTCCATTGTCTATCCGAAAAAAAGTTGGCATTGCAGAAGAGCATCCATGAGGTAGTTACAGTAGAGGCACACACTGTAAAATCATGAGTAATATCACCTTTTTGCCCTAAAAATAAGGTAACATGAACATCAGTTGTTATAATAAATCATTAACTATGTCAACTAATATGTTAGTTTTAAAATCAATAAACTCCTTGAAAAGAGAAAACCACTGAAGATCTACAATATCCTCAACAAGTTTCTGCAGTATTTATGTTAATCCGTTAATGTAATAGAAGGATGCACCCGTAAAACATGCAAGTTATAATTGTAAATCGGTTCGTTCATGCATTAACTAAATGTTTAGGCTGTTGTCAAAAAAATAAATGTCTAAGACCGGATTCGAACTGGGGTACACACCCAGACATTTCACTATCCCATCTGGTAATATTAATTTAGTATTAGGGTGCGTTTGGTTTACGGAATGTAAGATTACCGATGGGAATAAAAGATTACCAGAGAATAGGATTATTGAGAATGTTGTATTTTGTGTTTGGTTAGTTTAACAGGAATGTAAGATTACAATGTTTGGTTAAAGGAATAAAAGATTATTAGAATGTATATTTTACCAAATTGTCCTTATTATATATTTGTTTTTTTAACAAGTTGAATTCTACTATAATATTACTATAATTAATTTATATATTTTCTTTAAAAATTTTAAATTCATAAAATTTATATAATTTTTTTATAAAATTGAAAAGATAAATAAGTTTAATGAAAGGGTAAAATTTTATTTTAACCCCTGAATTTCATATAAAATTTTAATTATAGACTTTTTTTAAAATCTAAAATAGTTTAAGGATAAATTTGTAATTTAACATTCGTAGAATTTTTATTATTCAACTACAGAAGAAGGATATTTTTTTTAAAAAAAAATTTAAGGGCATTTTAGTCCAAAATGCTGGTAATCCAACAATACCTAAGGGAAGGGAGTAATCACATTCCCGGTAATATACCCCAAAAAATCCACTATTGGTAATAAAAGATTATCGGGGACTAGGAATGTTGGCCAACCAAACGGGGGAATAAGGATTCCATTCCCCTAGTAATAAAAATATACCTTGAACCAAACAGCCCCTTAGGGTTATATATAATCAAAAATGTTTCAATATTAACATTACTTTTCTAGAATTATCATTGAATTAATAAAATTATAAATATAGAAAATAAATTTGTTTGGCTTTTTAGTATATAAATCTTTCCATTTTAAAAAAATCAATTAAACCTGTTCAATTTTTTATATCTAATTGAACCTTCCAACCGTAAAATTAATAAAAATTATTTTATCAGTATATTAACTATATTTACATTACTGTTAATTGATAATGATGTAAACTAGGGATGCTTAATGAGTTGAGCAGCTCGTGAACTACTAGAACTCGATTTGGTTAAAACTTGGTCAGTACTTGACTCAAGTTGACTTGATTGGAACTCAAACTCGAGTTCGACTTGAGACCTTAACGAGTTGAGTCGAACAAGGTCTAACTCGACTCTGTAAGTTTGCGAGCAGTTTGTTATTTTTTTATAATTTTTTAGTAGCCGCCTTAAAAAATCATTGCATTAAAAAAGTCTAAATAATAATTACTAATTTACTAATAGATAATAAGAAAGATGTTAAATTATTAATTAATAATTATTACTAATACACTAATTTTTTAATAAATAATAAGAAAAATATTAAAATATCAATAATTAA